AATAATAACCGTGGCAACGTACAGGTTAGTAATAATATATAAAAAGTGATCAATTCACCTTGTCAGTTGATCATTGAGCTAACCAGTTCCCAGAGTCAAGCAGCCGATGTATCATTTTTCCAATTTTAATGAAAATTTCATTTTATAGATTTTTTTTATATATATACATAAAAAAAGTAACTTCCTTACCGCCCACTGAAATTCAAATCAACAACATAGATTTATCTAACATGATAAATCATGTTATTACTAATTTGAAGATAATCCAAGTCTCATTTTTCAATAATCGACTCAGCTCAGGTATCGGCTTTTGAGTTTTTAGATCAAATTATTAAGGTTTGTTTGGCTCTGAGAATATTGTTTGATGGGAGCTGCAGTTGTAGTAAAAGTAGGATAAAAGAACTCTCTAGCTGGAGTTAAAAAGGAACCAAGACTATACTGCTGGAACTTATGGTAGTGGTACTCTCTCTCTCTCTCTCTAATTGTGTGAAGAAATTAGCCTGTTGACAGGGAAAGACTTAGATAGTGTAGTTACATTCAATTTTTTTTTCACCCATGCATCCTTATTTTTTTATTAAAAATATAATTAATTATTTTCAAAGTAGGAACAATAAAATTTAAAATCTCTCAATAAATATAATTTAAAAAAAAATCTATATATTTATAGAAAATTTGTTCAAAGATCGGCTCTCTTATCAGCCGATAATTTGTGGATATATGCAATGTTACTTTCTTGTAAATATAATAAATGTACTAATTAGTAGAAACTTTAGCCTTTTCTTTAAATATCACTTCCAAAGTATAGATGCTTTTAAACAACCGACTGACAAAGGATCTTGGTGCTTTGGTTTGGGATACGCTGAAATGATTTTAATTCCACGGGACAAAATGGACATTATCTCTCTTTATCCCTAATGAAATTTAAATTAGCATCTCTATAAGAGAAAGAGTGAGAAATCCAAGCTTTCAATGTTTCTTCGTGATGTCCGCAATGCCAAACAACTTGTAAAGAAGGCACAGTCACCAAAAAAAATAAAAAAAACATTATGATCCATCAGTGCCAGATCCAGCGGATTGGACCCATCTTACAATGATGTCTCGCAAAATTGTATCCATCCTTCCTTTTCAGTGTCGTCTTTATAGTGCAATCACTATAAAGGAATTATTCTTTTAGTCTAATTTACCTCAAAATGGAAAATCTGCTTACCATGATATGCTGCGCTATTAAGTCTGAGAGTCCAAACCATCAAACACATAAATGGCCAAGTCAATCCTTACAACCATAATTATAGAGTATGCTTACTTCTTTTTATTTATTTATTATTATTATTTTCAACTGTGCATTCCAAATCACTCTTCCCTAAATCACACACGAATTTATTCACTTGCTTTGCGGTATTTCTGCACTGCATATCTAGCCAGAAGCCATAGTGGAAGTCTACACTTTAGTCCTTAATTGTAATTAAGCAGTGATAATCATCACCTTTATTTAGCTTATGTGTCTTAGCTTCCTAGATTAAAAGTTAAGGCCACTATAATTGCATTACACTTTTGTAATAAAATAACATCATCTTTATAGTATCATTGGCTTGGGAAATAAAAATATCACATAAGAATGTCCTTATAATTTAGTATTCTACAAAGAAAAAAAAAACCCTTAAAAACTTGCATCTTATGATAGTTTCTCACCTATAATATATATTTTGAGATTACTAATTAAGCGGATTGACTTCTAGAATCTGATCTCTAATTCTTTAATAGAAGGAAAATAAAGAAAAAAAAAGTTATATGTATTCTATTTGTTCCGATTAATTTCGTCCCAAAAGTACTTGTACGTCGAGTCATTCATGGTGCACCATCCACCACGGATAGCCTCCCCGAAGTGAAAAGCTATTTGTAAGTCCTTATCCTCCTTGAAAGATGGTTATACTTGACGTATTGGTGATGACCAACAAGTATCTTTGTGGTTTCATAGATGGTTGGGACAAGTTCCTTTACAACGCTATGTTGCAAACATCAATATAGAAGAGAGAGAGCTCTTAGCTGCATATATCATCTCGGAGATTGAAAATTAGGATCCATCTTATTTGGACACTCTGCTCTTTTGACCCACATTCATCCTTTATTAGTAGCCATTCCATTTACTCGAGTCTTCTCCTCAACTCGATAGATTAGCCTAGGGTAAAAATAGTTCGGAATGCTACACTCGCTAAGTTTGGCTATAAGTTTCTTACAAGGGTTCTTCGACTAATAAAGCCGAACACATAATGGAAGAGTATCCGAAGTTTGAAACTAGCACAAAGCACCATTTTTTCTATGGAAACTAGAGTGGCGAAGCCTTCTCGCTAATGTCCTTCACTTTCACGAGGGCATATCCACTTCACGTTTATGCCGGAGATGTGGCATGGGCCAAGAAATAGTGTTTCATATTCTTCGTGATCGTGTGTGGGCCAAGAATATATAGCGACGAACTTCCCCGCTCAAATATCTCCATTGATTTCTTCTCGATTTCTTGGGACGACTCGTTACATGGAAATGCTCTTTACCTTTCTACTCTTTGGCACCAACTTTGAACATTTTTCCTCGGATGCTAAACCATCCGATGTGCACGAAATCCAAGGTATTATCTTCATTTCGGGTGCTAAGTAAGACAAATCCAATCTATGATCCATGATTGTGTTTCAGCTTTTGAAACTTATCCTATTGCCTAGCAACCTAGTCCACAACACTCGGATTTCTTGGATAACTCCCTCTCAAGACACGATCAAGTGCAATATTGATGGTAATTTCCCGAGCTTGACTAACCGTGCTGAGATTAGGGGTTTGATTTGGGATTATTGTTATGTGTGAAAAGTTGGTTTCTTAGGTTTTCTTGGAGAATCATCTATTGGTAGAGTTAGAAGCTATTCGCTAGGTTCTAATTTTGGCTTAGGACTATGGTTTTCGAAAAATGAATATGGGGATTGATTCTAAAAAAGTAGTTAATGCTATCTATAATGGTGTCCATCGGTATCACCCTTATTATAACATCATCATTAACATCCATTGTCCGTACCAAAGGTAATGGTGTGTTTCCTTTAACCACACCTTGAGGGAAGGCAACATAGGTGCCGACCACCTCACCCATATTAGCTTATCGAATGATACTCCTTTCCAAGTCTAAAATCATCTTCTATCGATCATTGGTGACATTCTATCTAATGATGTTGCTTGTTGTTATTGTGTTTGTGTCTTGAGGCCTTAGCTTTGTCTTCATCCTTTACATATATATATATATATAGACACACATGTATGCATATTCGTCCGTATTTGTGTGATTTAATCCATGTTATCTATAATGGTGTCTATCAGTATCGCCCTTGTATGTGTGTAATTTAATCCATGCTATCCGTAATGGGATCCCTCGGTATCACCCCTATTATAACATCATCATTGACATCCATTGGTTATGCCAAAGATAATGGTGTGTTTCCTTTAACCACACCTCGAGGGAACGCAACAGAGGTGCCGACCACTTCACTCCTATTAGCTTGTCGAATGATACTCCTTTTCAAGTCTAAAATCATCTTTCGTCGGTCATTGGCGATATTCTATCTAATGATGCTCGCTTGTGTTTGTGACTTGAGGCCTTAGCTTTCATCCTTTGCACAAATATATATATATATATATATATATACACACACATATGCATGCATGTTTGTCCGTATTTGTGTGATTTAATCCATGCTATCCGTAATGGTGTTCGTCGAGTATCACCCCTATTAAAACATCATCATTGACATCCATTGTCCGTGCCAAAGATAATGGTGTGTTTCCTTTAACCACACCTCGAGGGAAGGCAACGAAGTGCCGACCACCTTACTTGTATTAGCTTGTCGAATGATACTCCTTTTCAAGTCTAAAATCATCTTCTCGTTGGTCATAAGCGACATTTTATTTAATGATGCTACTTGTGTTTGTGTCTTAAGGCCTTACCTTTGCCTTCATACTTTGCACAAAAATATATATATACATAGATACACATGCATGCATGTTTATCCGTATGTTTGTGATTTAATCCATGTTTAATTACTTACGCACTACAAAACTTGACAAGGAAATGAACTCAAAATTTCAAAACATGATCTGTTAGTATCTCTTATTCCCAGCTGAATTTTTGTGCGTTACTCAAGCAAAATTTGAAAAACAAGGAAGCAAGATAAGGACAGCAACAAATTGATATTAATAATTTAATATCAATAAAGAAAGGAGAATCTGCAATTCCACTTAATTAAATACCATATCCTGTATTATTGCTTGGTCTTCTTTACTTTATTAGTTGATGGTGGGTAATAATTTTCCTCACTAGCTAAACCTTCGTGGATCAATAATACATTTTTCTAGATGCCAGTTAAAACCTCAAGTCAAACATTATACATTCCGTACCAAATGAATATATATATATATATATATGTACCGAGTCATTAATTTTGACTAGTTGCACCCATTGATGAGCCATTGAATTTATGTATATATTAGCAATAATTATAGTTAAAAATTAATATAAACTATTTTTATAATTTTATTCAACAATTTAAAATTTAAATTTAAAATTATTCTTTCCACAAATCATTCATTCAAATAAAAAATTAATTATCATAATTTAAGTGAAAATGATGGTAATGATTGTATTGATGATAGCATGAATTAATAATTATAAATCTAATATATTTTAAAAATATTGTTAGTGCAAAATAGTGTCATTGAAAGAAAATAAATAAAAACTGCTACTAATTGGAAGAGAGGAAGAAAAAGAGGAACAAAAGCACCTTCATAGGGCCCATTTCATGTCTCCTCATGTAGACCCAAAGATGTGATTTTCATCTTTCTCCCCACTGCACTATCACACTAGCTATTCTTCTTTCACCTCTTTTCTTTCTTTCTCCATCACTCACCCTTTTTTCCTTATTTTCATTTCTTGACAAAATAGTCTGGAAATTCTCTGTAAAAAAAAGTTAATCATGTCAGGTGATCAAGGGCCTAAAGATTCTGCTGAAGGGTCTTCACGATCTAGCGGCGATCACCACCAGCCTCAAACGGCTCCTTTGAGCCGGTATGAGTCGCAGAAACGGCGAGACTGGAACACTTTTGGGCAGTACTTGAAGAATCAGAGACCCCCAGTTTCGCTTTCTCAGTGTAATTGCAACCACGTGCTTGATTTCCTTCGGTATCTCGATCAGTTTGGCAAGACTAAGGTTCATCTACATGGCTGTGTCTTTTTTGGACAACCTGATCCTCCTGCTCCTTGTACATGCCCTCTAAGGCAAGCTTGGGGAAGCCTTGATGCCCTAATCGGACGGCTTCGAGCAGCTTATGAGGAGCATGGAGGATCAGCAGAGACTAACCCTTTTGGAAATGGAGCTATTCGGGTTTATTTGCGTGAAGTGAAAGAGTGTCAAGCCAAGGCAAGAGGGATTCCTTACAAGAAGAAAAAGAAGAAGAAGACTCAAATAAGGCCAAGAGACGAAGCAAAGCCTTCGATGCAGTCAGCTTAAGACCTTTGGCTTCCTCAGATAAATGGTAATTAATTTTGCTCTAGATCATACATAATTTTAATTTAAATACATAATAATTGCGTGCTTAGTTAAGAAATTTTCTATTAATAGTGACTAATAGAAATGTATCTTTAATTAACTACACGGTAGGCAAATAATCAAGTTCTCCACTTAATAATCAATCCTTGAAAATGGCGTAGTTGAATTTTACAAGTTAGGCGTATAGCATGTGTCAGAAGGAAGAAGTAGATCGAACGGCAGTGATAGATTGAACTTTCAATACATTGAAAGGTTAGATGATATACGGTAACCAGTTTGCTTGGGGGTTTTCGTTTTCTGTCATAAACCCTAAACCCAGATTCCAAAACCCTAATCAGGATATCGCTTTCAAGACTGTGCAAAGATCAAACAACTCTGGTTAAATGAAAATTTTACATCAACAGCTTTTACCCTTATTTATTATTCAAAAATACATCAGATACTATGATTGGAAAGGAAGAATAGTATTTTTAGTCCTTCTCTCTCATATCATGCAATAAAAACACTGTTCATGTGCTGTTTGCAAATTGGATTAAATAAATTTCACTGCATATTTTACTTTTCCCTTGTTTATCCCTTTTTTCGTGATTCTGCTGTGATTGTTTTGCTTCCCATGAATGACCATCATGTGATATGTCTCATACGTTGCATGTGATTTTTATACACATTGACGTTGGGATTTAACATGCATAATTATATCTTCTAACATTTAAACAACATTATCTTCCCAGATATTATTTATTACTTTTCTTGTTGTGGAATGTATATAATATATATGTACATGGTTGTGCCTTCATTGTTAACTGCCATTAGTTTTGTTAATTAATAGCTGGGCTAGCTTTCTTTCTATCACGCTTCACAACTCGAGTTCTGGCGCATATATATATATATATATTAGACAGATTGTTCATTTATAGAATCAAGAAAAATGCATGGGGGAAATCTGTGAAAGGAAGTACGTCCGGCAAAATTATGAGTTGTCGATCGTCCCAGGTAGTGTTGGACATTATTGTACTCTTCTGTAGATTTGAATGGATAGTTGTCCACAATTCATGATTTCATATATTCTAAAGATCCCTTCATTCCATGGTTTGAAATGAATTTGTAAGAGGAAAAAAACTGAAACAAATTAAAATATAGGATCTTTTCATTTAATAAGCAAGCAAGAGTAATTTTAAACGTCAAGGAAATATAATAAAAAACATATCAAAAATACACATAAATTATTAAATTAGATAATTGAGATTGAATTTCATAAAAAAAAAAAAAAAAACTTTATTCTTATGATAAATGGTTCATTCTCAATTTTATATATTATTTATGTATTTGATGTGAGACAAGTTTTTTAACATTCTAAATCATTTCCTTGTGAAGTGAATTAGATTTCAATATTTTTACTCGGTCATTGGACCTCTTTGAGACTATAATATAATATTAAATTAAATAATTAATATTGAGTTTCGTCTAAAACGCCTAAGTCTTGTAGTTGATGGCAAATTCTCAACTTTATATATTATTATTATTATTATTTTCTTTTATGAAGTCGACTATTATATCATAGGTAGACACTAGCAAGTTGCTGGAAGAAGAAAGTTACCATCCAACTAGAAATCATTAATTCTACATAGACTAGGCTTAGCTAAATAGTTAGCTATATAGTTCTTGTCTTTTTTAATATAAGAGAAAAAAAATAGATTTTAAATACAAAATCAAATTAGAAATAACATTAAAAAAAACTTTAAAGCGTAGAGGGTCTATAAACTAAAGTTTGTGCATCTAAACAATAGCGTTTGCTGAATATGACTATTATCAAGTAGATTTGAAGAACTTATGAAGAAACAACAATGATTTTTTAGACTTTTTGAATTATGAGCACCTCTATTTTATTTGAATCTTTAATTCCAATCGAAACTGAAAAAGTACATGTAAAATTTCAATGATGATCTCGCAATATGCCACTTATACTATAGATCCCTGGTTTGCCCAACAAAAATCCATCCACTTTCCACTTCAAAGAGCCAATTGAAAGAGAAATCCAACTAGCTCCAGCTCGCACTTTGACCAAATTAGTCCACATCTTAATGCCTTATGGCCTTCAAATTAGATCATTTTCTACATAGACAAAATGTTTATAGACAAATTGAACCCAATTAGCAACTTTGCAAAAAATAAGAGAAAAGATGTTGTCCCAATTCGGCCTGCAATCATTGAATATTAAACCATTTTGAACTAATATGATAGATCAAAATGCACCATAAAGAATTAAAAACCAAAACTTTTTAGCATACCACCTTTTTTGCATACCACCGAACAAAAATATGCTCAATTCAAAAAGATATCATCCATAGTACATGAGACCATCCAAACACCATCCCACCAAATAATGACCCAAGATCACAATTTTCAAACTTCATCATAGTGCAACAAAATGTGATTTGTAGTTTCATTATAGTAAAGACAAAAGGGGTATAAGTTTTTTTGTTGTAGTAATGATATTTTTACTTACTAAAGGGTTTTAGTATTTAATCTATTCAAGACACCTAGCCAAGTAAAAATTTCTACTAGGCACCAAATTCATCCAAAAAAGAAATTAATAGGAGACTCATCTAGTAGTAATAAATTATCAACAGAAAGCTACATTCATTTATTATTTACTTATTTAATATGAGATAAGTTTTTTAATGTTCAGCGTGACCTATAAGTGGATCTCACTTTAAGATCATAATCTAACAATCTATGTATTCTTAAATATTTTTTGTTTTATTTTCTTAATGTTCAGCGTTACTCAACATATAGTTTTTTTTTTTTTAATTATTATTTTTTAATCTTAATACTCTATAGAGTTCAGTGAACCAAAAGAGAGGAACTTCCTTATTTGCACATTTGTTATGAAAAATAGTTTATTTATTCCTTTGAGATAATAAACAAAGTAGAAGCATGCTACTTCTCTTAATCCAAAGTAAAGTCTCTTTGATCGCCATCTTCAGCTGTCGTTATGAATTGCCAAAAGTTATGTTTGTTGGGATTTAAGATTTGATATCTTTTAAACTAGATTTCATAAGCAAGATTTGACTCAACGGTTGAAGTTTAGTGATTAGGTATTTCTTTATCATTATTTAGGCCAATGAGATTTTGCCTCTTCAATAGATAGATGGATTGAGTTTTCACGAGATGTCTAGCAGCCGTGAGCTTAATGAAAAGTATGGTGTGGTTGAGAGTTGATATTTATAGACATTCGAGTAGAAGAAACAGCAGTTGCCATAGTTGTGGCAAGCGCACGAAGTGTGGTGGCCATGCCCTATGATACACAAATACTAACCTGAAAACCTTAGATCCTAATGATTTGTTTTTAATGTATCTCGATAATTAAAACTAAGATTTAGGTGTGCTTTTCAAATCTCTATAAAATTTTCTTTTCCAATCTCACATGCCGAAAATACGGTTTACTAACAAGCTCTTCATGCAGTATTTATCAATTTCATTTCTAAGAGTATGTCGTAGGAAGGAGATAGATATTCTTCATTAAATTAATATTGGAAATTAAGTACGGTAACCCAAAATCAATAATTAGTTTTTTCGTTTTTTCTTTTTTCAGGAAAGAATTTTCATGTAAATTAAGGTTTTATTTTCTGAACAAACATAATTTAGGGGACGTCTTATGGTTTTAGGAGTTGAAGATAAGAATATGTTAAATAACTTTCAAAACTAGCTTACCCAATCACATATATTGGTTTTGATGATGATTTTCCATGGACATTTGCTTCCATGCACCAGCCGGTGCTAAGCTCACATGTTATATATAGTTTATATGTAGTATTTTTTTAGCGTTTAGAAAAACCATATACCCCATGGGTCCCTTCAAGTGAGCTACCTCAGTAAATTTTTTCGTCTAAAAAAACCTTTATATATATATAGTCTTCTGAAACGATTCTTTTGTTTTATTGTGAAGTTCTAATAGAAGTCTTAGCATGCATAGTAGCAATAGAGAAAAAGAAGAAGAAAAAGATTAAGAAGCTTAGGAAGAATTGGTGACGATGAAAATTTTCTTCTCCTCATTTTACTAGTCTCTCTACCGTCTCTACCGATATATGAACCATTAATGCGTACTCAAACTAGAAATTGACAAGCAAAGTTGTAGTGAATGGCAAACTATACAATTCACAATACAAGTAGGAGTACATTTTCTACACAAAGTAAGCAATTAAATTGTCTTTGCTATTTAAGTTCCCATAATTTTGACTCAATTATCAATTCATTATTAAAATAAATAAATAAATTTCCTGAATGGAATTTTTATTTAATTGCTTTTACTTATACCTGATCACCATAACTAATTTCTTGTACTATAAAGCGAAATCAAAACAATTAAATCTAATATTAAAAGTTTATCATAAAAAACCAAACAACTAAAAGATGGAATCCGTTAATTTGTTTTTAATAAAAATCAAAACCCTCGTTTTTCCTTTTCCTTGTCTCTTTATTTTTATTTTTTTACTTGTCAAATATGACACTCACAAGGATGTTAATACGAATATGAGCTATAGTTCAATTGATATTAGTGTACCTCCTTCTCTCAAAAGATTTAAATTTGAACCTCTTCTTAAATAATAATAATAATCAAAATGTAACATACGCACACTATTCATAATTTTTTTTTAAAAAAATATAGATATTTAAATATAAAGATATAAAATTAAGATATTCAATTAGAAATAAATTAACAAATTCATGTATAGTTGGCAAACATGTCCATTTATGAAAAATAGCAATGATACATAATTCTTTGGAAAAATAAATCTCATTCTCCTTACTATTTTTTTCCCCTACCTTCTTCCATGATAATAATAAAAAATACATTATTTTTTATTCTCGTTTTTCTCTTTCTCTTTTTCTTTTTCTTTCTTTCAAACAACTTCAAAAAATGAGAATTGCACTTCAGTTTTCATTTCTACCTGAATTTG